ACTGGTCTCATTGCCATACCAACATATATATATATATGTATTATATCTATCTAGGTGTGTCTATTGGTGTGTCAGTGTGTTTGTTTGTTTGCGTGCTTGCGTGTGTGTGTGCCTGAGTGTACGCTTGCCAGGTAATTCCTGTTCCCTGGCTCCAGAGGTTCCAATTTTGAGAAAAACATTGACTTGAATGTGGGAAGGAAGGATGACAGCACAATTGCCAGGTAAGCCTCTATGGTAGAAGAGCTGGTTCCGTTGAGCCCTTCGCAATAACAGCGTGATGCCACACTTGGGTAGGTATCATGGGGTCCGGGAACTTCTCTCCTAACACGGCGTCGCACACGCCGCACCCACCGCCTATCGCAGGATTGCGATGGAAGATTGGAGTGCGCAATTTGTGAGGCAGGGAGTCCTTTAATTAATTGAACTGGCTGGCCGCCCTATTCAATTCTAATGCGGTCTTGATCGTCGTTTATATAGGAGGAGTCATTCTAACAAGTCAAATAAACATGAAAACTAAAAAGAAACAGAAGAAAAACGAACAAATCCAATGAAAAAGCAAGCCAATCAACGAAAAATATCGCGTCCTATCGATTGGCGGGAGGCGGGGTGAGTACGGTAATGCAGTGACATTTGCCGTATGCCGCAAGGGAGAATGCCGCAGTAGGGATGAAGTTCCGTTACCCGGTATCATGATATCAAGAGGTTGTGTAGACAGTTGATCACAGGAATTGAGAGCAACTATTGAGAGCGGATAAGGAGTCTCAGGAACCAAAGACAACTGGACTTTTACGTCCACCATGTTAATACATAGTGGAACCCTGACATTGGTGGGTATTTGATAGTATGAGAGCAACTGATGACGGTTGTTAAAGAGGGTCGGTGTGGAAGACTCGCTAAATTGCCTTTCGCTCTTAGTACTGACAGCTTGCCCCGGTTTTCAAGTGCTATGTGATGTGTCACGGGATTGCAGATGGTCGATGATGGAAATGGTAACGGTGGAACTGGTAACGGGTGATAGGAGTAATGAAGGCGAATCGTCATCCCATCTCCTTCATGAAGAGACATTGGCGTTCTTGTGTAATGCGATTAGTGACATAAAGTCACAGTTGGAGAAAATGGTGAGGATCGGTTAGGAACCTCATAAGACAAGGTTCATAGTTCTGATACGCTTTCGTATTTATGGTGGGTCTTCCAATTCAAGGCGTAATGTTATGTGTGACCTGTGACCGGTTCGTAAATGATTTGTGTGACAGAATGTGGTGATAACTGATTAGGCCGGATAAGGGGGTTTCAGAAGGTGAGATCTAACAGTTAGTCATGCCTTTAGTACCAATAGAAAGGGCTGCACACTGTTGTATTATTTATAAAGCGATGAGTTTGTAGTAGCTGATAGAAGGTGACATCTACAGTGGTAAGCATTGACAGGGCCATTCCGCGTTGACAACAAAATATTCCAAGTATTACGTTTATACTACGATTCAGAAGCTCCTCGAGTGCTGGAGACATGAAAAGGAAGCTTACTCCGGTACCTTTCAAAACAAAATTATATTATACGATACCACCAACTTCTGCCATACTTCACGATTGAATGAATCAGTGAAATTAAAGGGAGCATAAGGTCATGTGATACTTTATCTTCGGTAAGGTTGTTATCTTTGGGAGCATCGAAAAGTACTATTCAAGAGTTCAAATTTCTTTCATACATCGGGTTTTTTCAACAAACTTGACGGCACTGTTCATAAGCGACATTTCAGTAAAAATGCAGCTTAATGTCGAAGATCATTCTAAGGGTATTAGGGTGACTCTTTGGAGCACCTGCTCACAAATGGAAAAGGCCGAGACCGGTTCTTCGATTCGCCTGCGAGTCTCCCCGACCGGAATCCAACGAATTAGTGGTGTAGTATATGCTGGAGAGGTAAGCGTGCATTCTGAAACACGCACAGTTTTCTCGCTCCTGGTAAAATGAGCACGGACTGGAGAGTTCTGGTATTTCTGCGGGCTGATGACGGTACCAGAGTTGACTTCGAGCTGTGATTGGTATAGGCGAGGTATATAAAATGACCGCACATTCGTTCTGTTGATGGGATGCATAGAAAATACTTCTTATGAATCCACTACCGATTTGGATTGTTTCCGCACCGCAATTTCATTTATTTATTTGTTTTGCACACAAGATGCGCCAAACATGATAGGGAGACAATACAGAGCTAAACAACATTGAAAATTCAGCCAATTCTATCGTCACCAATACACATACTATTACAGATGTCACATTTGCATATAAATAACATTGAAGTGAAAGGAAGTAGAAGATAGTATGCTTTCGTTGATGCCATCGGCGGCTCCAACATCATTGATGGGCTGAAAAAGTACTCAGCTATTCACTCGCACCTCTGTCCACTAGTCAGTTGAAGAAATAAGAGTCGGCAATCGCAAAAAGCTGCTCAGAGAGAAGTTTCCCAGCCACATAACACCCAGCAAAAGTAGAGGTATAAGAGATTGTGATATGCGCTTCGACATCTAGTAATTTTTTTTACTACAGCGTATCGTCGTCTAAGGCGACGATCACCTAACCATAACTATCTCCTCGTCTCACTGTCTGAGACGACTTCCTCTAGCTTAACCCACGCCCCTAAAAGGTGCGGGGTCAAAGGGTCCCTCATTCTACCTTGAACGACGTCAAGGACGAGACGTAGGTTTGTACTTAGATAAAGACTTATTTGCTATTCTCCTGTTCTTTACTAACGGTAAAACGTCCGCGCTCACTATTTACTTGTTTCATTCTACTACGTATTATCCGGAGTATATAAAATCCACTGTACCGCCAGCACATAGCGCGACCTGTAGAACTCAGGAACACCAGCAGTCACGAGACCCCCACGTTTCATGTAATGGAGCAAAGGGCCCTTTGTTCCGCTAAGGTATATGTACAAGAGTGACAACGGGTCTGTTTTTTTTTTGCTAGTTGACCCAACAGCATGTTCATGATCACATATTTTATTATGCCAGTCAAATGTAATTTATCAAAGGCTTGTTGTAATAAAATATGGATCGGGCTTGCATAAACGCGCACCACTTCTGATTGGTGCCACATTACTTGCTGCTTTATGAACACTTTGAGCGCTTGTAGTAGTAGGATGCCGTCGTAGAAGGATAACGCGAACGAAATAGGCAAAATTCTGTCGAATCTCTTTGTGGCGAGTTATTAGAATAAGAAAATTCAAATTGACCTGAAACACAACCAATTCTTATACAAAAAGTGCTGTGAATATAGGCAGATCATCATTTTGTTTATTAGAGCTGTCATACTTACATTAACACAATAGAACGAATATAAAACCGTAGCATAATTTTGATGAATACCAGCAATTTCAAAATAGGCCACTATATCGGGAATGAATAAAAATACCAGCGCATTAATTGTGGTCAAACCTGAAAGACTTTTAAGGTCAGTACATTTACAATTAACTAATTTCTCTTATTTCTTCTCATAAGATCTATGTAGACATACATGTAGGGGTAATGAGAGGTGCTGAGAATCACCTCTCAGCACTTCTACGTATCTAGATCGGGCAACAGTTGTATGAAATGATTTGGCTTCTAGAAACAGCGGGAATCTTTCAGATGAATTCTGAAGACTTCTACAGACTCTATGAATTGTCTGTCTCAAATTGAGGAGGGTTATCGAGAGAGCTTCAGCCCTACTACCGTTGGCTATATGAATGCCATAGAACAGTAATAGAGGAACCGAGACGAGAGGCTGTGGGATTTTAGAATTAAAAATAAGACCAGAGAGGGGTCGATTTTACGATTTTAGAATGCGAAAGCAACATCTTACCAACTGTTACTGTAGAATGTCGTATATTTCGCAGTTGCGTTGTATCCACTCGATGACATACCTTTTCGTGTTTAGCAAGATGCTGAAACGAAATGAAAAATTAGGCGATCACGTATGCATAGTTAGTTTTTTTGTTCCTAATTTACGCTTCATTTCCCAAAATACATGTGTTCATTGTGTAGTAACTTTAGTTTTTTCTTCAAGAAAAGTTTATTCGCGCATAAGCCGGAGAATCTAAAGCTCATCGACATTCGGAGATGAAGTTCCATCCTCTACGGGTGCGCTTCGTTGCGCGCGTCCGTCGAAACTAGGCACGCCGCAGCCGTCGCATGCGACAGGTAAGCCCGCCATACTTGACGGACATCGCAGTTGTCAGGGGGCATACGTTTTGCGCTTCGTCCACGGCAGTCAGCTCAGAGAGAAGATAACGCGGACAAATGCAAATCATTCGCTCCACTGACACTTGGTGGTAGTGTAATGCGGGAGACGGGCGTTAGGAACGATTTTGGGTAATCGATTTGCCGCACGCGGCTGTCGCGGACCACTCATTCGCCGTTATTACAGCTCTAGCTTCTTCATACACTTCAATCGATATGCGATAATTATTTTATGCATAATTCTACTATTAGTACTTTTGTTCTTGTATTTCTTACCTACTGCTGCATCCTGTTACATTCCTTCGCGCGCGACGCTCCTCTCACCACGACGCGACCATTTCGTTCCTAACGCACCACCCCACACCACACCCCTGTAATGCCATCCCGAGACCCCAATGGGGTACGCCGTCGCGACTGAGAGGGATGACCTACCTTCAAAGAACGCGCGCAACAAACCTTCTCCATACTCTAGCTGGCCATGGAGCCCTTAAAAGTATGTAAATACGAGAACGTCTAGGTTTAAAGGCTGGGCCTATGACATATAAACAATTTATAATATTTATCAAAACTTCAGTGACTATTAAAAGGTCTTCGAACTATGTTAAATTATCTCTTCGTCATATTACCGAAGTTGAAACGCTTCCGTCTATCATTTTCAGTGCTCCTAACAATACTAGCATTTTTAAATGCTGAACAAAATGGCATGAAAGGGGCACAGATGCTTTAGAAGTGTAATTAGGTTTTGTAACCCAATTATGCTCCACAAGAATGCTTTTTATCGCAATGTTAATAGCTGTGAACTGGCTGAACTGAGGGACTGCAACTGAACTTAACGAAGGGTACAAAAAAATACAAGATAAATTTCAAAGTCCCGCGAATGTGTGATACAGTAAGCTCAGCAGTTTCCCATCCCACACTAAGCCTCGATCGAGATACCTTTTTGTTGCGTCATATTTGTGAGGAGTGTTTGGAGGCGCTTGCGTGTGCTTCGGGTTACAGTATTACACATTCAAGGGACCTTAATGTCCGTCTTGTAGGAAAATCTATAAATACTTCGGGAGAAGACAAACTTCAGGAACGTTTATTGCTGTGTCTCCTGTGGAGAATCCAAACAGTCCCCCTCGAGAGTTGCACCTACTCAAATTCGGAAGTATAATTTTTTCTTTGGCGTCCTTCTGCTCTCAATATGGGTAGTGAATGCAGCTGATGGCTCTAATCATCATGCGGATTTACAAATTACGCTACTTTTCTGCTTGGGTCTCATGTTATTATGGCTATAAAAAGGAATTTTCCGGAGACGGATCGAGTGGCTCTTTTCTGAAAAGCGTTTTCTCTCTTTTGATTAACCTCGTCCCGCATAGCCTACCTTAACACGGTAACGTATCTCCCGGAGGATCATAGGGAAAAACCTAATACTCGTATAACCCTGATGAAAGGGAAATAAAACGAGGACAAGAAGTTCCTTTGTTGTCTGACCATACCCCTAGACGGGACCTATTAATGACCCTGGATTGTTTGAAAAACCCAATTGTTCCTTGTTCCCATGCTCCTACTCGTTTCTTGTTATTAAAATATGCATTGGAAACTATTGTGATATCTATTTGAGTAACAGCAGCTGATAATTTAACAGTATACTTCCATGTGGGAAATTTACAAAACAATTAAGGAGAGCCATTGTGTCGTGAGATTACCTGTTTGAGTCGTAAAACAATATATAAATATATTAAGCCAGATGATATGATACAAGCCATTCGCATCAACAATATGTAGGCATGAAAACCAGGATAGACAGCTTCACGTGTAAGACAAAGAGCAGAAACCCATGATTGATCATTTATAGTCAGAAGAAAATTCACCACCGTCGGTATGAGCACTGTTACGCATGGTGCTGAAAAATAAAAACGATTCGATCAATAGATTCGAACAGTACTTTGAATGAAACAACTAGTAGTAGCTATTGCTCGGCCCTCTTTTCAAATAAACCCACTTTAACATTCACTTTTCAAGTATTATCATGGGTATTAGTTAAAGTTGGACAGATGTGGTGTAAAGGCAAGGGGCGCAAATCCCACACGCGTGAGCCAGGAAATCAAATCACTATATAGCTGAAGCCATCCAAGACTTTGTAAAGACGATATTCACAATCGAACCGCCGTCACGATTTTCGAGTGGAAGTCAAATGCGGGGCGCGTCCCTTAGACGCATTGTAAACGACAAAACAGTCATGATTATCTATTTGTGACCCGAAAGCTGGAAGCTCCTGAGGTTTACCCATCTCACAGTTTCAGTACATCAGATAAAGTACAATAAATAAGCATATATGAATGCATAAGATGTATCTATGTAGGTTCAAAGCTTACATATTCTATACGCCATATATAAAAGCAGAACTTCTTCAATCAAGGAATCTCTAGCAGTTTGTTGATCATTCGTGATTAGATTTCCTATAAGTTTCAACAAATTCTCACAGAAGGATACCCTAGACTTTACTCAAGCACTGCTTTCGATATTAGAAGGTGTAGAATCTTTACGAAAGCAAAATTCCCCATGACAATCGGCACCTTGATGTGGATTTCAAGTATCGGGGTCCACGTAAGCCTAAAGTTGTGTCTGATGGGATCACGAAATGGAAAGTTTCAGACGGATGTGCAAGGCTCTGCAATGAAAGCTGATAGGACAGAGCCACTTCGGAGAGTCTCAACTATCCCTACGAACACCGCTGTCCTTACATATGCCATGATGCTATCCTATTTTGACGGTACCCATGGACTACCCCAGTGAAATTCCCTATCTTTCAGCAGTAGTTCTTATGGGTGCTAATGGACCACTTATGCACGGGTCATCAAGAAATTGGTACATATTTAATTACGAAGAACCCCCTCATTCCTGGTAGCAATTTAAAGATTCTATCAAGCATTTTGTGAACGCTTAAGACTGATGATGTAATTATGGATTTTCATTGAAGTGCGAAGTGATTACTCAATCAAGCTGCTATGAGAAGTAATGGTTTGTAAATAATTCACTCTATTGGAGAAGAGTCCTACGGTACCCATCTGGAGAGTGCTTAAAAGTACTCGAATAATAGGAAAACGCTCTTTCCGTTTTTTTTTTCTGGGTTCTTGTAAAGTTGCTTATGGAATCAAATCGGCCTGTCAATGTCTGCAGAACGGCTTTTTGTAATCCTAGAAGGCCAAACCAGAGCGAGCGAAGTTTTATGGTATATTTTAAGCCAGACACTTGGCATAGTGTAGTGTACTGCATGGCTTTCAGGCAGTACCGGCTTAGGTGCGTGGTGTATCAATGGGTATCACTGAGTAACGGCGCTACTGGTTCGTCCAGGTTCATGATAACCAAACAAATCTAACGAAAAAATTGAATTGAGCCACTGTAGAACTGGATTGCAGCAAGCGAAAAAGCCGAAAGAGGACAGTTCAAGGAAAGTACAAAGGAAGGAAAGTTTACGGACATTACAGACTGAGTCTGTTAGGACGCGGAATCATCAGTCCCTTTCTGTGATTCTTTCCAACTACCTTGATTTCGACAAGGCTGGCAATGGAAACTCGATTGTAGGAGGTTCTTACATTAAGGTTTTTCAAAGAAAATAGTTTTCTTGTAGAATTCAATTAAGGAGCAACCATGCATTCGTTACTAAAAAGAATTGGATTAATTCTCCCACTCCATCCTTCACCATTAAGGATTCATATTTACGGCTGAAATAAGCACTCGAAGAATACAACAATGAGAAAATATTTTCAATGATGATCAACCTCGTTCACAAAAGTGCCAAGTATTCTTTTTCCATTCAAGTTCTCAGTGTTGCTTCATTGCTTACTCGATCTTCTCAATGAGTTTCTGGGCACAATAGATGATTCTAATACTGCCGAAATTCAAGTACCAGCTTACCAACCCCGCAGAATTAGGGGACCATGGCTATAGCAGCACCATTAGGAACCGTGGAACATTGCCCCCGAGAAAGGAATGAAAAAAGCGAGTAAAAATGCGCATGACGGAGAAGATAAAGTCATGTATTAAATCAAAATGATAGCAGAAACTTGGCTTACTTGCAATGATTATGATATTGTAGTGATTGCCGAATTTGATATATTTAATTGGAATAGTTACCGCTAATAGACGATCAAATGCCACAACCATTGAGAGAATACCCTGCAAGGAGCCTTCAGAATTACAAATTTACATTACATTACTTACATTTACATTTACATTTTACAAAACTTAAAAGATTCAATCTGCTACAGAATCCCCAGAGGTACTATGTAGGCACAAACTCGTGCAGTTGGAGAAAGTTTGTTATTTCAGAGTGGCCAGAGCTCAGGGAAAACTCGAGGACCAAAATCAGTCAAGTGGAAAAAGGGCTTTGGCGCTATATCCGTTAATTGGTATATGAAGTGTAACAAATCTATGATTTCTGGTATCAGAGGCACACAGAATGATCCCAGAATGATGGTCCTTATATGCACTACTCAAACCCCACAGGAGCAGGAGTTTCAGGAGCCCTTTCCAGTAAATGGCCATTAGACCACTATGCTGGTGATTAGGACTCGGCATAGTATTATATCTCAATACAGTGTAGAGGTAGACGATTTTGAGGCCAAAAACAGGCTTGGAAGTAGGCAGGCTAAACTGAATCTAATTTTACTGGTTGAGCTCATGAGACATTTGTTTCTGTAGTTGCTCTTGGGGTGTTTACTATTTACAATTTCCCCTACGAACATTACCGAGGCTACTATCTCATCCTATTTCAACTTATCGTAGTTTTCACTGAACACTGAACCTATCAATCCATTCAAAGGGAGAGTTCTGTACAGAAGAAGTATCCTTGCATTGGTCTCGGGTGGACTGTGCAGCGGTCTAACAAGAATTTGATTTCAAGGGAAAATCGCGGTACCCTCAACGGTGCACCAAGCTCTGTGGAATCTTGCAGGCAGCTCATCATATCTTTTAAGGGACCACCATTTCCATCAGCATCTTCTTTTCTAATTGCACCACCTCCTAGGTCATACCGTCAAGGTGTACGGGTGTCGTTTTGAAGAAACTCAAGCCTCATGGAATCCCATCCCCAGATCGCATCGCTTCTATAGACCAATGGAGTGGTTTCACATGGAATGAACATAAGAGATGCGATTGGAGTAGAACTGTAGATTACAGTACCACCTTACCTGCATTTGATAAGAGATAGTCATTAATTGTACAAACACTTCTTTGGTGCATTCTGAGCGAAGTACAGTCGGTATATCTAAAAGTTGTTCATGAAAACCTCATACTCTTTCAAACTCTCTAATAATTGCTTACACTTACCTGATCCGAAATTGAGTACCATTTTATATCTATAGATGCCCGTGAGCATAAAAGCTGTGCCAATAGCAACATCTGTTATTTGAAGTCCAATAATAACTGGAAAAATAATTTTTTTATCAGAAAAAAAGTGGTAGATAGCGGGAAGAAACATTAACTCGAAAGGCTTAGAAATATTTGCCTTTGAAATACAAATACATAAGGCTACGTCAGAGGGTTTGAAGAGATCAGACGAGTAAAGATGCCGTGGGCCTACTGGAGCTCTGATGATCGGTTCTTCAAAATCTTAAGGGCAGCTCCATTAACACTCGGATACCGAGATACTCGCAACGCTAATACCCTTAGTCAGATGAAGTGTCCAGGAATAGTATAGGATGGACCCTTCATTTACGTGAATGCAGAAACTACCCGCAGCCTTTCAGTTTTGGGAATAGTATCATGATTAGTGTGAACGGAAGTA